TACTAATTTTTGTAATGGGTAAGTTTACACTTTCCATTAATATCATAATCTTTGTTATTTATTCTATCTATTTTTCAGATCCTCAAGTAAACGTAGATAACGAATAAGTTTTGCGGGAGGAAGCAATGGAACCAATTGCTGAAGTAAACGTAAATGATGAAGAAGTTTTTCGTGAGGAAGCAATGGAAGAAAGGGATGACGAGGAGACTGACGAGGAGACTGATAGTGACGAGGATGATAGAGAAATGACCACTTTTGGTCCAAACGGGAGTATGATACTCACGGAGCAATTCCGGTCTATTAAATGGAATTGCTTTAAAAATGCAACCCGTAGGTTGATGGAGGCCCTCTTCACCAGAGGGACAATGTCAACCCATTGTTTGACAGGACGTGTCAGCAACGCTCTGCTTGACACTGGTAGGAATCCAAGACCTCAATTAAACACTGAATTGGTCGAAGACATCGTGAGTGTCGTTATGTATAGATGTGATGTTCGGCAAAATCAAGTTCGTCAAGTAATAACGCGAAAATGTGCCGATGAGCGTAAGATGGCGAAGAAACGTGGAGAAATTTGAAGCTGGACAAACAAAATTTTACGAAATTCCATTGTATATTTGTAAACATTTTCCCTGTCTTTTTTTTTATAAAAATAAACATAAATAATGAAACTTAATTTTTTCTTTTTTTTTTGTAATTTATACAGATTTTAAACACAATTACTCATTTCGTAAACGAAACAATAATAATAACTAAGAAACTATCCGAAGTTTTGTTTCAAATTCAAATTTTGAAAGTTTAATGCAAAAAAAGAGAACTTTGCAATTTTTGCTGAGTTTGTTTTTTTAAATTGAAAATAAAAACAATTTATTTTGCACTGTGAACAATCAGGTCTGTGAAATCAATGCGGAGAATAAAATAGATGCAAACAACAGCAAATAGGAAGATGCAAGCGATGAAATTAGTGCTGTGATGAAATCTTTTTGAAAAAAAAAATATCTATTTTATTTCAAAATTTTTAAAAATTGACTAATATTTGTTATATATTTATTAATAATAATTTTGTATACGAGACAAGTTTACAGGACGTGTCAGCAACGCTCTGCTTGACACTGGTAGGAATCCAAGACCTCATTTAAACAATGAATTGGTCGAAGACATCGTAAGTGTCGTTATGCATAGATGTGATGTTCGGAAAAATCAAGTTCGTCAAGTAATAACGCGAAAATGTGCCGATGAGCGTAAGATGGAGAAGAAACGTGGAGAAATTTGAAGCTGGACAAACAAAATTTTACGAAATTCCATTGTATATTTGTAAACTTTTTCCCTGTCTTT